CATATATTTTTAGTTATAATACATTACATATATTCCATGCACATTCCTTGACTGCATAATATGTTTTCAGATATTCTAATGGTGCCATCATAGGATATATTAAATAGCTTGTGACTACTGTACTTTATAAATAATGTATTTGCTACTATCGCAGGTTCATAAACTTTTAGACCCAATCAATATCAACAATAAAGTGGAATTTCTTATTTTTTTTATAAAAGTATAATCTGAGAGAACTCATTATACTCTCAATTCTTCTTTCCAATGCATCTCAACCTGTCAAGTGATTTAGAGTTGTTTCCAAAAAATGCATTTTATAAAGAATTTGATTTTTAATAATCACAACTGCCAGTGTTTTGGAAAATCACAACCAATGAAATATGTTGGAGAATCCCGAGGATTCATAAAAGAGGGAGAAGATAAAAAAACAAACAACACTGTAATTCCAATACAAAATTCATATATGAAGAGCATCTGGTGTTCCTTATCATGAATAAGGCAAAAAGTTCACTATAAGTAGCAGAGGAAAGATCTTAACACATTCGATAAAAAGATGTCTATTTGCTTAGAGGAAATGACAAAATCTTACCTGGAACAATATTTTTATAATCTTTCCTCATTTTCAGAGACCAATATAAAAGTGTCCTTGATCATTAGAGGAAAGTTAACTACAGGCTTTCTTCTCTTCAGAAACATGATCTTTATGATCTGTGAGCTCTTCATGGCCATGTGAGCTTATGAAATGTTGGCGTCCCTGCTTCCAGTCCTCACACAGAGCTAAATGCATTAGCTGGCTGGGTTCCCTGTTTCTGTCAGTGATGCTACCTACCATTCCTGTAGCCACCCACACTCCAAATTTTGGAGGTAGTTTTCATCTTGTTGGCTCTCTACCGCTTATCTTAATCATTTACCAATCTGTTCAACTCTCTTATGTCTCTTTCCCATGCAAGCCCATCTTGTCTGCCATATTGTAATATTCTAATTCAAACATTAATTATCTCATGCCACTTAGTTGCAGTATCCTTGTAACAGGAATTTATTTCTGTCAAATCAATCTCACGACCTTAATCTTGGTATTCATCCTCAGTGTCCCTCCATTTACCTTTATCTTTATGGCACAAACCTGGTGACAAGTTCTGTTACTAAATGGTCATGCGAATGTATTTTGGAATGACTTCCTATTGCAACCTCCTTAAAAAATTCCCTCATGTACTTTAGTACATCAGTACCTTCATCTCTTGATTTAAAAATCTGGTTCATTTTATCCATAATCCTCCTTATCAAATTAGTTGAACACGAAACTCTTTTTCATGTAAAAATCAATAACCACCTGTCATATTGACTACTTTCAATTGTATGTACTTTGTAAAATTTTCATAAATATCCAAACATTTTTGCTTGTTGTCCTTCATTATAATAGGGAAGGCTCATATACCCAGGGCACAGAGACATCTACTAACACAGCCCTTCAGATGTTCACAATGATCACATTGATTGATCCTTCCACTAGCCTTCAGCAGTTAGTTTTCAGAAAATTATTTTAGCCCTCAGTAATGAACCTGGGCTGGAAAGATGCCTCAGTGGTTGGAGTATTTACAGTACAAGCAATGATGATCTGAGTTCTGATCCCCAGAACCCATGTAAAAAAGACCAAGACAGAGTATACTATTAGTATGTGCATGAATGGCAAATTACTAAGGAAAGCTAATGCCTTCTATTTGGAATTGAGAGTAGTGGCTCGGGCAAAGCTACAGCCACATGGTCTCTAACCCAACCCAGAACATAAAACATTGACCAATAGCCATCATTAGAAAGCTAATCATGGCAGACTCTGTGCCCAATTTAAGCACAAAAGCTATATTCTCTGGAAGAGTTTCATGAGATGAAGAACCTCTGCATTATATACTAACTTGAAAAATAGTAATAAATGGCTCCTCAGTGACTTACTCTTTGGGCTGCATAAACCCGATTCCTTTTATCTTTTCTCAAAGTTCTGGTTTTCTCAGCCTTTAATCATCACTTCTTCTCTCTGAACTCCCTCCAAACCTCTGTGCTCTTCCTCTCTGGTCCTTTCCACAACCGGTCCCTATGTGGAGTAAACAGCAGAGGAATGTCATGGACAGCCACCCTAAGTGGTAAGGTTGGGTTATGCTAAGCACCCAGTACATACATCCTCATTCAGAGTCCCTTCCCTGGGTTGCAAAACTTGGCTGTGGATCAAAAGAGTTTTCATGGCCTATTCATATGGCATTACATGAGGGTGATGATTTTTTTAAAAATATTCTTCTGGGTATGCTATTAAACTACACAAGTCTCCAAATAAGTATACCCTCAGAAAACCATATATTTAAGAGCTGTTTATTATTTCCATTATTTATTTGTTTAAATAAAATTCGTACAGTAAAAGTGTTTGATCTATGCATGTATCTATAGATAGCATGTATACATTTATATGCTGTGCTAAATAAATATTAAATATCTGTTTATATAAAATTAAATAAGTCATGTAATAGATATTTTTCAAAGAGTTTAAATTATCCTTTTTTTCTTATACATATCCTTGATTGTATATGTAAGCATCTATATTAAAATGTCATATTGTAAGTCAGAGGCACAGTTAGCAGAGAAAAAAGGATGTCTCATTAATCAAGGAATAAAAAACAGGTTGATGGTAGATTGCTTAAAAGCAACAATAAAAGTATGAACTGCTGGAGATTTTAAGTTGAGCACTTAGCAAATAACCAAGGGACTAGAATCATGCACCAAGCTAAGCAGTCTTTTAAATAGGGAATAAAAATAGTACCATTTTTAGATACAAAACCAAACTTTCTACTAATTGGCTGAATTATAACTATTTCAAAGAACTAATAAGAATACATATATACTTCAAGGAGAAGAAAAATATCTTCCAGAGGAAGCTTAAGATCAACACACAGTGACAAAAAGGGAAAAAAAAAGATAAATATCTGCTGCTGCTTATAAAACTAAGATAGTTTAAAGATCAGGAAGAGAATGCATAGAATGGAGACCATGTGCTTTGCAAGGTGTCACGTCCTTAGGAAGCAGCTGTCTTATTTTGTGTGAGTGATATACTTCTTTGAAGAGCAATCAAAAATGAAAATTATGAATGTACATGATACATAGCTACAAACATCGATTTGTAACAGATTTTAAAAACAGTATACCAGGAACTGATTCTTGGAAAGAATATCCTAAAATTTCCTAAAACTATACCTTTTTAAAAAATTTATGCGTTCAAAATTTTCTACCAAATAAAATACCAGCAAAGCAGGACTCATTCACATTTCCAATATTCATGTGCAGAACTATGCCAATTTTACTCAAATTTCCCAGAGAATGAAAAGCTTATATCACAACTCATTCTAGGATTCCAGAAACTCTAAACATGTAAGGAGATAAAGAAAAGGAAGAGAAGGGAAAGAATCATTGAGAGAAATATTTTTAAATGGAAACACACGAGATCATATGACATCAAATTTGATTTCAGCTGGGCACGCAGTGGGTGCTGCTGTAGTGAAAGAGTCCGTCAATTCTTACTTTAAAACACACAGATTCAAAGAATCTAAGACCTGGAGAGACCAAGACAGCTGCGCGCGCGCGCGCGCGCGCGCACACACACACACACATGTCCACCAAATGCCTGGATATTCAAGTCTGAGTGTCTCACACACAAAGGTGTCAAAATCACGTAAGAAAGGGTGGAGGGATGGAGGAACAGAGGGTGAAGGGAGAATATAAAGGCAGAGACCGACAAATAGAGAAAAAAAAATCTACTTAGGTTAAGAAAAAATAGTGTTGCTTAAATGGCTATAATTTTCCGTATCCTCGCTTTCCCATTTCCCACTAAAACACTCGTGCATCTATTGAACCCTATTTGTGGAAATAGGATATTAAATGTAAAGATATTTTAAAAGACTAGGTCTTAGATAATAGAGATGCCTTTACATCTGTTTTTCTCTGAGGCAGGGCAGGGAGCTGTCAGAAAGGCAGCATAGAAAGAGAATTAGAAATCAGGACATTATTGTCAAGTGAAAAGGTGTGATAAGGATGTATGATGAGATACCCTAAAATCCCAAATGATGTAAAAGTTAAGTAAATGAAGCTGCATTTTACTCATTTTACTCCGGCATTGCTCTAGTGAACAGTAGCATCACCAGACAAGGTGGAACCATGACTTAAATTCATTCTCTTCATGCAGTCCCTTGTATATTAATCATAGAAAGTCTTTCTCGTGTCATTTCATATTTCTCAGTATTTTCCCTGGGCCCCTCTGCTAATTCTTGGAATCTCTCCATTCAGAGTCAGAGGCATAATCTGATTTGGCGAGTCAATACCAAGGCAACTGCCTGTGTGTTTTCTTTCCACAGGATCACGGGATGCCAGCACATAGCTTAAGAAATGGTGATGGCGGGTGGGGTGGGGAAAGAGGTCCTGTTTCTTGAAGGGCTGATTACACAAGACAAAGTCAATTAACATCTGATTCCTCACAGGTTTCTGCAAGCAAATTGTTCCAATTACCCCAAACCAGTGAGCAAATTGTGAAGTAATTAAGAAGAGTAGTCATGATTCTACCAACCTTGCCTGGCCATCATGCAGTCAGAAATTATGTGAACAGACAGACCAAAATGCAAACTGACATGTGTGAATCGTGCTACCAGCATAGTCCACCATCTAATAACAACGTGTGTGTCAGCATGGAATTCTTCTGTTTTCTGTAATTGAGTTTCCAATGTAATATGCTTATCTGCAACCTTATTATTTTAAAAGCATTGCCTTCATTGAAATATAAAATAACCACATTATCTTTGCTGAGTCCAGTAAGTCTGTATGCAGCCAAAGCTAGGACATTTTATAACACTATGGAATAAAAGACCCCACCATTGCTGTTTATAGTCCATAACACACAGCGTGCAAGCAAAGTCCACATTAGTGATGGAGACAGCATACTTTAATGGGCCTGTTAAACTTTGTTTTCACAGGCTACTTCGTCATTTCAAAACAAACTGCCCACGTATTTACCGTGTTTGTCACCAAGAATTAAGATTTGATCACATTTGTGAAGCTATGAAGGATTGAATCTCGAACATTTCTTTACTGTGTTTATTAAAGGAGTTACCGAGAACAAATATGAAGAGGAAGAGAAGGTAGAACATGACAAGACTCTCTTAAAGTGGGCAAATTTCTTCATACCATAGTCTACAAATATGAGAGAAATCAGCCTTTTGCAGGATGATGCTGTGTTTGGAAAATGTGTTTCCATAGCCCCTACAAGAGATTGCATCTTGCTTAAGGGAGTAGAAGGCATCATAACCTGTTTCTTTGAAGAGCAAATCAAATAAGAAGCCTTTTCAAAGTAATACAATGGGATAGAGTTGAAATAAACCAATTCACTTTAAAGGCTTGATGTGTAATGGACTTAATCTCATTCTAGCAGTCTCAGAGGAGCCATGGTTGGCTTGTCTCGTGTTAATATACGATAATGTATTGGTTGGTTATTTTGTCTTACCATTTCTGATTTGGCATTTAATTTGTACTCTATCTTCTACATATGATAATTTTAAATGACTTACATTTAATTTAATGTATGTTGAATAAAAAGGAATTAGGGTTTATCCAACGTCTACTGTTGGCAAAATCCTCTAACAAGTGATTTCATACTTTGACCTGGAATGAACATATATGGTAAAGAGTATTATTTATATGGCATATGGTAGAAAAATGAGCTTGAGAGTGTCCAAATAACCCTCCCAAAGTCATGATACAAGTACCAAGATTTTTTTAATACTTTTTAAAATTGAAAATAGATTTTCCATATAATGTGTCCTGATTACAGTTTCCCCTTCCCCACTTCCCCCCAACTCCTCCACATCTTCCCTCCAATCCAAATCCACTCACTTTCTGTTCCTTCTGAAAGGACTCACTTTTTGATAGCACTGTTTTCCAATACTGTTTTGTAGTACAGTATTAATGCCTATAGAATGCTTTAAAGAACTTTTTTGTTTAATATATATTTACCTACTGAAGTGCTGTAGAGATGGCTCAGGGGTTAAGAGCGCTTGCTGCTCTTGCAGACAGCCTCAATTTTGTTCCCAGCATTCACACCAGTCAGCTCACAACTGCCTATCAGGAGATCCAACTCCCTCTTCTCCCTTCTGCACTCACATGGTACACATACATACACTCAGGCACGCGCGCACGCGCGTGCGCACACACACACACACACACTAAAAATTTACAAATAACTATAATTATTTATTGGACACTAGGTACTGTTCCAGATGTTGGAAATAGAACAATGAAATAAAAACATAGAGGAAACAGGTAATAATTATTATAAAGATTAACCAGGGGGCTAAAAGATACCCGTGTGAGCAAAATAGAGAATGAAAAAGAGCAAGAGAAATGGATAGGGCGAGTTGAACTTCAACATATGAGGGGCAGGATAAGATTCCTTGGACAATAATGTGGGTGTAGATACAGAGGAAATCCAGTAAATCAAGAGGACATCAAGAAACACAAGCCTGCAGACTGATACACAATGGCATAGAACTAGCCAAAAGTGGGATACGCATGGATGGGAAGTGTCAGAGGCCAATAATCAGGAACAAGAAGAGGCATGTAGAATTTCTTTTAAAAGCTTTATTTAGTGTTTTGCCTTTTAAAATTTCTTCTTCTTTCACATGTTACATCCTGACTGGTTTCCCCTTCCTCCTCCCCTCCCAGTCCCTTCACCCCACTCTCTCACCCTGCCACCCCCAGGTCCATGTCTCCTTTCCCTTCAGAAAGGGCAGACCTTCCAGGTTTTACAATAGAAATTTATATGATAGAACTTAACCTTCATGGAGATGACTTTATATAAAATAACAACTATCTATTTATGAGTTGGTATTCTTTTGAAATTTACTTCCATGTGCTCATTTATTCAAGTAATACTGATGGGAACCCTCCTATGAGCTAGGAATTCTGTGACATAGGAAACATTTTTTAATATGATAGTCAAAACCTCATGTTTTCATGTTAATTACCAATGGGCAATCTGGAAACATTATACAACTTAAGATAAAATGAATAGAAAGTCCTTTGCATCTACAATTGCCTTTAGAGATTAACCCATGAAACACAAGTTGAATATAAAGAGGATAATGAGAAGTTACATTTAGTGGTATGATCTGTTTAGAAGTATGTTTCCATGACAGAATTTATTATCTCTATGGTTATAATAATTATTTAAGTCATAACACTGAACACACGATAGTTTTAAATTTAATGCTGGTAACTTCTTTCATCCCACTTCTTTTTTATAATGGAATGATACACAACTAATTAAAAAAAAGCTAGAAGAAAATTCCTGTAAGCAGAGCTTAACAGTGGATGCCACTGTTTCTGTAAACCTTCCTGTTTGTCCTAGATACCCAGTCATCGTGTTTAACATGCACAGTGACAGGACAGCAGGATAGACAGGATAGCCCTACTCATCCTAAATAGTAAATAGATAGTAGGACTTAATGAATCTTTCACTGATGCTGACCAGAGTTGTAGATGAAGGTCCATCCTTGTCTATTGCCATTCCTGCTTCCCACAGGGTATGGATTTAACAGGCGCAGTGTGTGTCTGACAGAGAGCCAAGCAACAGAGGTACCTGCCTGATATTGTCATTACTGCCATGCTGGTTTTGCTGTCACTGGTTCTGACCAGAGTATCACATTTCCCTTTACTATTTCTGAAGCACTTTGGCATCCTGAATCCATTTCCCCTTAATGCTTCAGCTATATCAATCGTCCTTCTGATTGTCTTCTCTGGGATGCTTGGTCATACAGTAGGTGGAGGAAGTCAGCCTATTTATGAGAAGGATGGAAAGCCGTCCAGCTTCTAATGGCCTTATGATTCATCCCCTGGTGGCTCAGAGGCCTTTCTGAACAACAGCGATTGCCATCTGGTTTCTTTGGGGATGATAAATTCAGCAATAAATATGGTTCTTGGTACTCTGTCCCTCTAAATCCAAGTCACAAATACTGTGAGTCACAAGTTCCCACCCAACAACACAACAACTACAGAGCTCAAACGAGCCATTGACATTGCCTGTACCACCCAACTACTAGTTCTGTCTAGGCTGCATTTCTTTTGGATTCACTACAGCCTTTTTTTTCTTAACACACATGCACACACACACACACACACTTTTTTTTAAGAGGCAGGGGCATGCAGCCAAATGAACTGCGTTAAGCAGTGGGTTCCATTTTAGGTGTTGACAGTGTATAATAAATCCAGACCTACCTAACATTTACAGGAACATTATAAAATGAGTGAAATGGCATGAGCTGGTTGCCAGGCCAACCAGACAAACACAATAAACAGGCAACAGTGACAGGGATAAGTTACACCATCTCTCCGGTCTAAAATATATCACTTTACATTAGTCTTTGACCACTTTGAAAGCTTTTTGTTTTATATTTTTTCAAAACTTTCTTTACAGCACAGATTAGCATTAAATCTTTTCAGATGGGGAAATCTTTTTCTTTTTTGGTTTTTATCTCCCAAAACTTGGACGGCTCCAAAAAGCGAACATTTATTTTTATTTTAACCCTAATTAAAAAATAAATTCAAGTCTCAGGAACAATGTTAAGGCTCAAATCCTGAAGGTTCCCTTCTGGCAGATTAAAAAGAAAAAAATCCCTAGACTAGAAAGAAAATAAACAATAGCAGTAGTCAGTGTACTTAGTTGGTTTAAATGTTCTGTTAAAATGATAGCATTGCTACCCTGCTGCTTAACTCTTTGTAAGCTAGGCTACACTCTGAATTTCCTTTTGTCCTAATGCAGCATGCATTTTGTTACAAGCAAAAGACTATAGGAACATCTTAGAAATCATTTACTTCACGCTTTGGGCAGAAAAATCTACACAGAAATAAGCAGGATGAGTTAGAGTTTTTCCTTAATTAAAAATAATATTTTCTGCTATTTATGCTAAATTGAAGTGTTTATTTTCACTGATTTACTCATATTCCTGTTCTTTCAATTTCTTTCACTGTAAGTTGCAAGTATCAAAGTAGAAAAATTGGGAGTAGTCTGTACAAAACTAAATAAAACTATACCTGCAAGATATGTTGAATACTTTAACACTCAGTTTAACCAAATACAGTTTGTTTAAACCACTGGAAATATTACCAGGTTTTCAACTACCCCTCCACAAAACACACTTGTTAATAGAGTAATCAACTTATCACACTTTGCCCAAGACATTCTGAATTTCTAGAGCAAAAACTAGATGTCTCAGAGAATGCCTTAGGCCTGGGTTAGAAGGGACAGAGTGCTATCTGCTTATACAGGCCATTTATAGAATTTTGATTTTCCTAGCACTTAATAGAAATACATATACAAATTATAAAACAAAAAATTGATCTTACCCGAAAATATTATCATGAGTAGAGTGTCATTGAGAACAGCTCATTTAATCAATGCATCCCACACACTTCAAATCTGTTTGCACGTACCTGAGTGGGTGGTGTCATATAGACACAGGGTGTGGTTAGCTCATACAACATATTCAAGATTTTTAAATTCTTCCTTCATTACTAAAAATGTTACTAGGTGGGGAGACCCTAGTCTGGTTTCCCTCTCACTGATGCACTCTCAGCTTGCTTTTACACCCAGTGCTTTGCTTTAAGAAAATTAATAGGGTATTAAGGCTACCGGGAGTAGGCAGAGTATATGAGGATGAGAAAAGCTCCTGCAGAACCAGTTAAAAGGCATCAACATTCCCAGCTCATCCTGAAAATGGGACCATATTGGGTTTTGTGTTTGTTTGTTTGTTTGTCTTTGACCATATTAAAATTGACATTTCCATGAGAATTGCAGAGGATTTTTTGCATTGACCATAGCAAAGACATCGTCTTCTAATGTGCCTAATTTTGAGGGAATAATTCAGAGCCCTCCTTGATAACTTTCATTTCTAATTCCACATTGTGATTTTTGCTTGTCCACACAGAGACTGATATTCTACTAAATTACAGTTGGAGAAAAAAAATAATTTTCCAATTAAAACATTTTTGGAAGGAAAGAAATACACATAGTTTTGTTATGTTGACAGCAACAATCCCTCACTGTTTTGTGCATACCCTTGGCCACATGATTTCATGACATCATTATCTATGTACATGCAGTTTGTCATCTGTCCCCTACTCCTTTGCACCACTGATGTGGTTTGATTAATAGAAGGATGTGAAAATGAGTGTGTTGATTTCAAGTGCTTCTCTGTCTTTTACAAAAATATGCCTATCCAGACTTCTAGAGAGTAAAGAAACATATAACCAGGTATTGTTTTGAGCCTAGCTTACATGGTCTTGCTTGGCACTTG